ATTCTATGGAGATTTTTCTCTCTGATGCAAATAAATTGTAACTTCCTCTTCAAAACAAAACAGAGAATCATTTAATTAGGATGAAGAATTTTGTTGCGATTAAAAAGCTTTCCTAGTAAGACCCAGGAAATTATACCTCATTTAGTCAAACTTTTTCAGACGTTTCAAGACTTATACTCGATTGATATTGATAACCTTGAAGTGTTGACGTTTACTTATTGATTAACATTAAGTACAGCAATGCACGAGTACATGGAACGAAGAATTTTTGCACTTTCGCTCTGACCATTAAACCTTAGATAACACAAGATTCAAATCAACGTTTTGTTGTCTCCTCACGCACGCAATATTGTAATTGAAATAATCAGAACTGCACGAAAACAGAAATCATGCAGAGCTCACAGCCCGAACTCCTAAAGTCGTATTCTCTATTATCAGATTGAAGTTTTCTCGACGCAGAGCACTGAAAAGAGGTAAATTAACAACAAAAACGTCACTCAGAACTGCCTTCACTAGATGGGAAAATAACTTAAATTTTGATAATTCAACATAAGGCAGAGTAAACTAAAAACAAGAATTCAAGAGTGAATCTTTACTCTTGTTTAATAGAAAAGGAAAAATAGTAGTCTGTGCTATTCCGGATAGAACAGAACCAAGTTAAAAACAATGTCACTCGAACCAGTTCCGACAACTTCACTTGATGTTTGTTTTTTGTTTTCTTTTTTCACTTGGGTTCGTACATTTCGAAGAATGACTTTCTTCTGACTCTGAAAGCAAGTACGTGCTGGTCCTAAACCTGCAAGATGAGCTTGAATAAAACATAGTACAGTCGAGTCTCTCCACAACGGCCACCTCGGGAGCAGAGGAAAGTGGCCGTTCAGAAGGGAGGTGGCCGTTATTTGGGGGAGGGGGAGGGTGTAGGGGATAGGGGTGTAATATGACACAATAAAACAAATAGTACGGTACGGATCAAGTTTGGCGATCTTTTACTATATAAAAATGGGATTTGCACCTTTCGTCAGTCGTTTATTAACTGGTCGTTGTCAAGAGGTTATTTTGACAGTAGGGACGATGTTAAGAGGCCGTTGCCGTTGTGGAAAGGAGGCCGTTGTAAAGAGGTTAAAATAAGAGTGAATGTATGGACTGTCCGCCGGGACCAAAAAACTTGGCCGTTTTAGAGAGTTGGCCGTTAGTGGAGGTTCGACTGTGTGTACATGGCGACTAATTATTGCAAGCTGGCGAAAAGCTCTATTCCCAGTCAAAGCCTAGTTTCGCACTTGATTACACGAGGAATCGTCCTCGCGTTTTCCGGAATAAGATATTCAAACCTCGTAATTTGTCAAATGGCCTAGGTATTAGACCGATGTCTAATCATTATTTATGTACGATCCTGGGACAAATTGCTGCTGAAGATCACCAAAACATCAAGGTAAGCAGGACGAAATTTTTCCTTTTTTTGTCAAAATTGGAGTGCATACGAAAACTTTCTTCACTTTCTTTGCCAAAAATCTTTGCGCATTTCAGCCTTGATGAAAATTTAGTCCATCTAAACTAAAAACAACTACTTCGTGAGTCTACCTCAGTGTCTTTAGTAATACTATTAGTTTTAATTAACTTGTTTGTTTGATTAATTATTCTAGGATCTTGATCGGTCTGAGAATCTTTTTTTAAAAAAGGCCAACCATGGAATTAGCATGTCATCATATTAGCAAGGAATAAA